ATTCATACCCATTGTCTCGCTAATTAGAACATATAAGATTGCACACCGAAAAGGAATCGATTGGGGAATTATGAAGAGAATGAATGATTTTGTGACTTGGTCATAGTCAATGTGAAAGTCAAAGGTTAAAGGTCAAATGGTTGACCCAACACTTGACATGGTCAACTAAGGATGATCGGGACTAACACTCGTTAGACAAGTGAGTGATTGAATTAGTCAAGTCACTAGAATAATTAAATTGATCAGATTAATTTAATTATTCAATTAAAGTTATGAAACTTTAATTAAAGGTCCCATATAACTTGGAAATTCAAAAGGGATTTGACCATATGGACTTAGACATATATGTGACACATTACAGGATTAATGTGTTGGACCAAGATAGCAAAAGATGACACACGAAGGGGGGGTGTGGTTACACTAGGGTTTGGGGGCATTTTTGTCACTCTTGTGATATTTTTTATCCTATAAATGTGTAGCTATGGAATCCTATCATCCTATGGTTTTCAAGTTGGTGAAATTGGAAGAGAGAAAACATCAAGCTCTCTCTCCCTAAACCCTTCAATCTATCACATCAAGTGAGGGTGTTAGCACCACTCTTCACTTGTTGTCTACTCATTCTCTCATCCCATTCAATCCTTGGTGAAGAGGTTTGGGGAGGTGCATGTCTTTGTACCTATTTGGAGAGCTACAAGGTGGAGAATCAACATCAAAGGGAGAGCCAACAACAAAGGGACCACTCCCTCTACTTGAACACCATTCTTGGTTTCAAGATTCGCTACAAGGGTATGAACATATTATCTTTCTCTCAAATAGGATTTAGAGAGTCTTTGGTACACACTTTCATAGACTTATAAAGATTGGGACCAAATGAGACTTGCATGAATCCCTAGTTTATTTAATGCTTCCGCTCTTACTTTGATTTCATATTAGATATGGCTTGCTAGGTGATTTGTACTCTCAAAGTTTGGTTGTAGAGTTTTTAGAAATCTCTACACAACACCATTTCCACAATATTCCCTTCATCTACTGTACGTCTATGGGAGCAATAGTCCCTTGGTTGGACTGCTCATTCCTCAGCCACATGAGTATTGAGGATTCTGCCATGTGGTCTAGTTAAAACCATCCCCGTATTGGATTGTTTTCCCCTGGTAAATGATGATGGTCTAGGTTGTGTAGTATAGATATATATACATATGTAGATAAGGGTACAAAATTTGGAGAAGGAAAGGGTGAGTTTTATGTGTTATAAATTGGATTATTTAGATACGGGGTATTATTATTATAAATGTCTTATGTGTTCATCTGAAGTTATTATTATTTACTAAGTGAATAATGTTTATTGATTTAGTGGAAACCTGGTTGTGGGTTGAGTTTTTATTATATAAATTTATGACAGTGTGTTTTGGGGATTTGGGATAGTGGTTTGAGTTCCGGCCGCACGGGTGTTGAGGATTCCGTCGTGGGTGTCTGGGCATAGTTGCTTCCAATTGGTCCTCCACACTAACATACCCTTTTGAGACAACCTATGGTTGTACTTGCATTTTTCCTTTCTCTGTGACTGTTCAGTATGCACAACCACAAATTCTGGGCATCCCAATCCAATTTCTCTATAAATTTATATAGCTGAGGGGGTTCTTTTAACTTGTCCTTGTCATTGGTGAATGGAAGGATAAACTACCTTGTTAAGGTAGACTTGAAATCCTTTCATTTTTTGCCTGCAGAAGATAACACCATCTTCTTGCCCCATTGCCTAACAACATAAGCCATTTGAACATCTTCCCAAATCTGCTCCTTTATATCCTGGGCAATTCCATCCATTTCTTGTCCACAAGAGGGACTCTGGTGCCTGCCAAAACACCAATATATGATTGCATCTCAGCAGTAGCCATGCCATATGGTCTGCCCCTTTTATTGTACTCAACTACGGGTTTAATCTTTTGGATTTTCCTCTTCACAACACGACTCATTGTGTTGATACCACAAGTTCACTTTGGCTCCTCATCAAATCTCGTTGAGCTATTAGGGTCTTTCTCAGCAGTTGAAGTAAATCTCATCTTCTTCGAGGTTTTGCTTTGAACTGTTTTGTCTTAATTCATTTGAGCCTTTGAAACTTCAAGCTTCTTACTTTGAGATTTTGAAACATGAGATTCCTTACTTTGAGATTTAGAAAACCATGTTTAGAGAGAAATATAACCTTCAAGTGAAAAACACGACGTAATATTACATTTCACATGTTGATAGTTAACAATTGCCGTCATTCTATTTCCTTTAGCACGAGGTAGTTAATCACAATCATGGTGTTATAAGTAAACGACGTAAACAGAAAAAACAATCATCTTATTAAGAGTAAATATAGAAAAAAAATCGTCAGATCTCTCTCTCCCACGATTATTTTTGTATTTTACGCGTAATAAGAAGATGGTTTTATCTTGTTTACGTCATTTTAATTATCACACCACGACGGTAATTAACTCCATGCTATTGCAATACGGTATAATTTCTATAGTTAATGGGGCAATTTTGTGGTTAATTAACTTAGGCCTAACCACCCAGAGCTATTTCAATGTCTAAAAAGGCCCAATTGATGCCTCAACGGCCCATGCACATTGAATAACGCATGGTCAACCATCATTTCAGACAGAAGTGATTAATACTACAGTGTCCAACGCTACAATACATCATTTCGAGCAGAATTATGTCTAATGCTTCAGTTCCACTTTGGACAGAAAGTGTCCGAACTTATAGTAAAGGACTGTTCATTTATCATTATATGTCTTATCCAAGGAATAACAAACAATCCAAACTAACCTTACAAAAGAAATTCAGCTAATTTGCATTGGATATGTGAAGGAAACATGCATCTAATCTTAGGAAATGAACTTTAGCCACAACCTATACAACAAAAACATTCTAAATGGCAGATTCATTTTGTTTATACTAGTTGAGCTAAACCTTTTTCATTTAAACCAAGTATCTTAACCTAGTCTCTTAGAACACAAATAGAAAAGGGAAAAGGGAATAGATCTTTACCTTTTGTTGGAAAGGCCTTTTGTTTCTCTTGATTTTGACTCATTCACCTTAAGGCTCCAAGATTGGAGTCTTATACCTCACCACACCAAATGCTCCTAGACATGAAGAGAAGGCAATCAAGAAGTATGGATGCTAGCCTAATTCTTGATTGGATCAATTTTTGGTTTATGGAATATGAGATACAAAGATAATCACTCATCAACCAAAGTAGAAAACCAAAAATCCTTGGCTAGGTTTTTTCCAAAATTTAGTTTATATAGGACAACGCAAAAAGCAAGGGGAGAGGTTCCCCTTAGCTGCTCAAACCTTTTAGGAAATCCACAAACCATGGTTGTCCCCTAGCAGCAAGTCACAGTTATTCGAGCTAAATGAGACGTTTTGGAAGAACCTATTCAAATTGGAATGACCCTGCAATTGAATCCTTCTCTTATGTCAATACTCATTATTTACATTATTAGATCATGGAATTCGATTGTCAATATCGTAATGTGAATCATTCATTTTATATGATTATCCTGGAAAGATTTGAAGACTTCTTCTTTGAAGTCTTATCCACTACTCTGTGTAGAGATTTGACCAATCATATCTTGAAGAATTCTCTCTCCTTTACTGAGAGTAGAGATTCCTTGTTGTACATTCATTTGCTTCCATGACTCTATTGAGAATCCTGATGAGCACCTTTAATCTATGCCTAATTCAATATGACCATTCAGTGCTCTCAAAGATTAACAACATAGCCATAAAACATCTATGATGCCTCAAGTCTAAAGATTAGTGTGCACCATAGCAATTTATGACTTCCACCTTGACATGTGAGTAAAGACTTCCATGTTGTAACTCATGTGTTGGATCGCATTCAGTATATTTGTTCTTCTACAAGCACATATATACATATCGATGTGTCTCCACAGTTAATAACTTGAGACCTTGCCATTCTCTATATATAGAAACGATACGGAGTGTACTGGTCTTTCCGGAATATTGGCGTCCAATCAATATTCCTATGACCAGGAACATATTCAGGATTTAGGGATGATGAGAAGTCTCCATGTATGCAATCTCATTACATAGCTCTTATATCCACTTGTATATTCCTTGGACTATGGTTGTTCTACATATTGAAAGATAATATAGAATGATTTAATGTATAAAACAAACTTTCTTGCCCATTGATAACATAATATGTCTTTTATCAAATATGTCCTTAACTCTAACTATTACATAATTAGTTGGCTTTAAGGGCATATTTCTAACAATCTCCCACTTGCACTTTAAAGCCAATCTGACATGTATATAATACTCATCTTCTCCATGTGTCGGTCTAGCTGAAGCCGACTCATAGTCTTTGTGAGTGGATCTGCTACGTTGTCTACTGTAGCCACCTTGAGCACGCTAATATCTCCATCAGCAACATATTCCCTGATTAAGTGATAGCGCCTCTAAATGTGCTTAGATCTTTGATCATACCTTGGGTCCTAGGCTTGTGCTATAGCCCCATTGTTGTCAAAGTATAAAATGACTAGTGACTTAATGCTTGGGACCACTCCAAGTTCAGAAATGAACTTCCTTATCCAGATCGCTTCCTTTGCTGCTTCAGAAGCAGCTATGTACTTTGCTTCAGTTGTGGAGTCCGCAGTGGTGCTCTGCTTGTAACATCTCCAATTGATTTACCCTCCATTTAATGTGAACACATATTCAGAAGTGGATTTCTAACCATCAACATCAGATTCAAAATTTGAGTCTGTGTATCATTCCACTAGTAATTCTAGGTTTCCTCCATAGACTAGGAACATATCCTTGGTCCTTCTGAGGTACTTTAACACAATCTTTACAACACTCCAATGTTTTGATCCTGAGTTTGATTGATATTTACTTGTGATGCTCACAGCATAGCTGATATCAGGCCTCGTACACAGCATGGCATACATTAGGCTCCCAATTGCGGAGGCATATAAGATCCTGCTCATCTATATTACTGCTTTTGGGGTTTTATGGCACATGTTCTTAGACAGGTGAATATCATGTCTGACTGGCAGAAAACCCTTCTTGGAATGTTCCATTTGGAATCTTTCGAGCACCTTGTCCACATATAGGGATTGAGATAATCCAATTAGTTTTCTTGATCTGTCCCTACAGATCTTGATACCCAGTATGTAAGATGCATTTCCTAGATCCTTCATTGAGAAGGTATTTGATAACCATAGTTTCACAGAGGTCAACATGCCTATGTCGTTTCCAAACATTAATAGTACGAGGAATACGACTGCTCTCCCATTGTTTTTCTTGTAAACACAAGGTTCATCTTCATTTTGGCTAAAACCATAACTTTTAACAGCTTCATCAAAATAAATGTTCCAACTCCTTGAAGCCTGCTTCAGTCCATAGATGAACCTTTAATGTTTGCATACTTTCTTCTCTTCATGTTTAGATATGAATCCTCCATGTTCTTAGACAGGTGAATATCTTCCATGTCATCTCCCATGAGAAGAACATGGTGTGAGCCCAGATATTTATCAAGTGCTTTACTGATCCTTTCAAACCTACGTGGAGTTTGGGTGAGTGTGGGGTAAAAGGACTAGATTGTCAACTGCATCAGACTCTACTTCAGGTTCATGAGGCTCTCTAGACTTTTCCTTAAGCTCAACCTTTTGCACATAGGTTCCATCCAATGCAAAATCAATCTCAAGAAATCTTTTAGATCTTGCAACAAACACATTTTGTTCGTTTGGATGGTAGAAGTAGTATCCTAAAGTTTTCTTTGGATATCTAATGAATTTACACATTTCTAATCTAGCGTCTAGCTTGTCAATATCATGCTTCTTGACATAAGTTGGACAACCCCATATCTTAAAATGATTTAGATTGGCTTCCTCTGAAACCACATTTCATATGGTGTTCCGGGCACGGATTTGGAAGGTACTCTGTTTAGCAGGTACGCTGCAGTTTGAAGTGCATATCCCCAAAACGATACTTGCAAGTCAGTATAACTCATCATTGATTGGACCATATCCATCAATGTTCAGTTTCTCGTTTCGAAGACACCATTAAGTTGTGGAGTTTCAGGTGGAGTCCACTGAGATATGATGAAATGTTTCTTGAGATATTCAAGAAACTCAGTACTTAAGTATTCTCCACCTCGATCTAATCTTAGAATCTTGATACTCTTTCCTGTTTGCTTTTCAACTTCGTTCTTGAATTCTTTGAACTTTTCAAAGGCCTCAGACTTGTACTTTATTAGGTGTATAGCCTAATCGAGAGTAATCATCGGTGAACGTAATGAAGTAAGAAAAGCCACCCCCTTGATGTAGTGGACAATGGTCCACATACATTAGTGTGGATTAATTCAAGAAGCTCAATGACTCTTTACCCTTTTCTTGAAAAAGGCAAGTTTGACATTTTGCCTTGAAGACAGGATTTGCAGGTGGGCATAGGGACTAAACCCAAAGATTCAAGGAATCCCTATTTGACCATCCTTTGGATCATATCTTGGCCAATGTTTCCTAACTTTAAATGCCAAATTTGAATCGGATTGAGTTCTTCTCTAAGCCTCTTAGGTCCTGGCATCTCAATCAAGCAGTTGCTATTTTTCACAATTTGAATTTGGTAGAGACCATCGATCATAATATATTTACATATGATTTGATTGCCTTGTTGTAAAGAGCATCCCATTATATTGAATGTGACAATGTAATCTTCATTCAGCAATGCTAAGGCCATCCTTTCCACCGCCTCTTCGACTCTGGAGGCGGAAGCCCAGGCTATTCTTCAAGGCTATAAATTGGCTCATGATCTTGATTGTACAAGCGTGATAATTGAATCAGATTTGAGAGGTATCATACAATGTTTGAACGGTAATATTGCTAGGGGAGCGTGGGCAATTTATCCCATTCTCAATCGTATCAGAGAGCAGCAAACTCTTTTCCACTCGTGCAGATGGTCTTGGACCTCGCGTGTGGCCAATGAAGCGGCCGATTTAGTGGCGTCGCTAGCTATGGCAAGGATGAGCAATGAAGTTTGGGTCCACAGACCCTCATCCTCTCTAACTCATATTATGAGCAATGATGGGCTGCCTTGCCCCCCTCGCGTGTAATCTCTTCCCAAGCTAGTTAGAGTTGACAATGGATCTCGTCCTTGTCTGTTGTTTCTTTCCTCTTTTAGCTTATTCATGTGTCTGTACTTCTGTCTGCTAGTTTTTGTTGGGGCACCCTCCTGTTTCCTTTGTGGATTTGGGCCCTCTGTTGATGTTACTCTATTTGCGGTTTCTCCACCTATTATGAAGGCATCTTTTAAACCAAAAAAAAAAAAAAAAAAGAGCGACTAGAATTAGGGTAATGCCCAACATTTAATATTATATGATTTAATTGTTATTGAATTTTAATATGATTGATGATGAAAATTGACAACAACAAAAAATGCACTTTTTTTCTTTTCTTTAGGTAATCAAACTCTATCAATAACAATAAAGTTGTATTGCAAAACCTCAATCCAAGCTGTAGTAGGAGCAGGAAGCACTCCCGTTTAACAGTTGAATTGGAAATTAAAGTTTGCGACTTAAATTCATGTCAAAGTGATTTAGATTTGTCTTTCGTCCAAACTATCAAAACCAAAACCCTCTTGAGATATGGGTGGGTCGGTGAAAGACTCGTTATTATCTGTTTTGGTGGGTGGGAATTCTCTCAGGATTTTGAACACGTTTAAATGGCATGAGAGGAATACACATTTGGGGGAGGAATGAAACGGTGGCGTTGCGAGTCTCTCTCATGGCACAACTAAACTGCCCATTCAATCTTAGCGGCTACCAGCAAAGGGTGCTTCCCCTTAAAGTGAATGTGGGTGATGGTTGGTTCAAAGTGAATGCGCGGATGCTACAGGGAGGTGATTAGATGTTGGCACAGTGTCTTTGTGGCTGCAATGGCAGAAAAGATGACGCTATTCCCCATGCAGCTCAAATCAAAGCTCTAGCAGTCTCTGGGGTTGCAATTTGCGTCGTCCCTTGGCAAACCCCAAAAACAAAGAAAGAAAAAACCCTCACTGGACAATCCAAGAATCTCACCTTTAAAATGTAATTTGCAGTTATCATGAGAGATGTACCCCAATCAGTTTCCCAACAACCTTGTATCCTATGAGCACAAAAGGCGAAGGCTTCGTGAACTCTTCTGAACTCTTTACATAGTAAAAATGCATTAAACATTCAACCTCGTGCTTAGAATATTTAACATTCACCAATGCATTTCATGTAGCCTATGATATGAACACCCTGTCCCTTTCTGTCAACCTAATGCAATTATATGATTGAACAATAACAAAAAATGTAGCCATGAACAAGTGTTTTTGTATTGGTGAAGTTCAGCCAAGGCGTAGACTTAGCTCCAACCTGTCAAGCCTAGCCTGTCAGCAAGATTGTACATCACCAGTTGATCCCAAGCATGTCCGAACAGGCGCTCCCCTCCGATGACAAACGTAAGTGCCCATGATGCAAGAAGAACAGTAAATACCGTGAGCCCAACTGCTGATCTCAAAACATCTGCAATAAGTGCATATTATTAAAAGCATATTAACCTAGAAACATAAGTTCTATAGTTTACAATGTGCGATTCAGAAAGCCAAACAATTATACTTCATGACATGATGTATTAAATGGAAACAGATCCGACCATACAGAGAAAATTTTGCTCCACAAACAACCAAATTCGTCGATTTGTTCATGCACCAGTTATAATACCTTACATAAGCAAACAACTAAAATACTATTATTTTAATCAAACAATTCATAGGAGACTTTAAGCAATTGATGCGGTAGCAATGACTTGGTTAGGGGAAAAAAATTCCTCTAAGTAAGTCTGTAGCAGTCCAAAACTAAGTCTGTTGACCCAATTCAGTAACAAGGCCTTTTTGGTCCAAAGAGAAATGTTTATGGAAATAAAAAATATTTGGTACATTTTTAAGAGTTACTCAAGGTCAATCTACGAGATAATGTCCATAATTATTAAGGGTTACTGTATTTGACTGCTAGAAACATTCTATGTCTTTTATATAATTCTACAATCCTTCCAGCCAGAACCTGTGGGGTTCGACCTAAATCTGCCCCAAGGGGGGGCAGAGCCTGACATCAGGATAGACCGAGAATTTTTTTATCTAAAGTTACCTACCTGCTCAACTGGAGCCAGGGGAGATTGAGGATATTGGGAGTAAGTTCTCGAAAAAGAAGCTGATTAGCATGGGCCTCCCTACGAAACTACATAATTTATCATTAGAACAGCAGCAAGACCTCTGGTTGCGGGCTTGGGAGCATTTCCAGCTCAAGATACAAATAATAGAACTCCTTACGGCTCGGTTTCCAAAGGAAAATTGGATACAATCCAAGTCCGTTAGGAAAACTAATATCGTAATCTTTAACACCCCTTTCATCTTAGACTCCTATTCTTTAACAAATAACCTCTATGTTTATTGAACCATTGAATGTCTTTTAAGTTTTGTACAAATATCTAGTCTTTTAAAACCTCCCTTTTCTTAGAGTGTCATACTCTTTAAAAAATCTATACGGTTTTTCTGTGTCTTTTTGGAGTTCTTTTAAAAAATATAACAAAGACCTACTCTTTCTTGTAAGTCAAAGACAAAATGAAATCAAAGAAATGAGTGTTTGTTGAAGCCTTGTTATGTAGCCATGACATCAGAGAACTTGACCTTCTTTTAAAAGCAGCAACCTATGGGGATCCCTAGTGAAAAAAGTTTTAGAGTTCTATTTTTATAAGAAACAATGGTTATTCTCTATTGAAGGTAAAAGAATCTTGTGAATTTTATCACATTTAAAACAACCAATATAGAATAAGGTTTATCATATTCTAGAAACAGATTCACAGCTCTAGAGATGCGGTGTGGGGAATGGGTAAAGGGTGAGCTACTGTAAAGAGAAATGGGTAGAGGAACACAATTTTCTTCTCTTTTCCCTTGTTTATACAGATCATGACAATTTTATATTGCTTCTACTGCTAGCTTGTGTTTGAATCCTTCTTCTTTTCCTTGGGATTTTGGGTTTTGAAGAAATATGAATGACTGGGACATGGGGGGAGTGGTTGACTATCTATTCTAGAAGATGTCATTTTGTGTGAACTAGGTGGGATATGAGAATTTGGGAGTTGGAATCATCCGGATTTTTTTCTTGTAAGTCCGCCGGAACTAATGGATGATTCTTCTCTCTCTCTGTTTGACCATTTACTGCCCATTATCCAGATGTAATCTTTGTGGATAAGGCTTGAGTTTGGCAATCTCACAATACTACCATCTACGTTAAAAGTCATGCTGTAATCATCTCTGAAATGATGTAATAGGGATCTAATTTGAACATATTGCTAAATCAAGCTGCAATCATGTCTGACATTCCTAGGTGGGACAGGGAAGTTTTCCTTTCTTTTAAATTTTCTATTCCAGTCTGGTAAAAAGGAAATTCTATTTCAGTTATGTGGTAACAAACTTTTATCTTTTTGACCTATATTTTGCCACATTACGTCATATCTTACACATAAGACGAGCCCCTCCTCATTGCAAAGAAAAAACTTATAAAATTAACAAATTACCATCTTTGTCTAGCTCAATCAAAATACTATCTGGAGCTAATGGAAAAATACATAAACATTTCCCACTGATAAGTTTAAAAGTTGGTTAGGTTACAGATAGATCATTATTTTCCTAACTGCTCTTGCTAATAACCACAAAAGACATACTGGTACAATATCAATAAAGCATAAATCTTTTTCCTGTGCATCAGGCAATCATGTCAGTTTCATTAAATATTACACTCAGAAAATGCACATAAAAAGTGTATACCGAGAAAAATTGTAAATGATAAAGTACATTTAAAAAAAGAAAGTTACTGTACTGCAGTTTGCAGCAGCTCCATAGAGAAGATATTTTTTTGTTTTTTAAAGAAAAAATGAAATGGAGTCATTGCAAAATAAAGAAAAAAATTCATTCAATATAATTTCAAAGAAACTGAGATAAAAAGTCACTTTCATCTGATACCAATATTAACCGAAACCAATTCAAATATCAGTATTTTGGCTAATAAAAATAATCCATACCTCTGGATTCTATTTTTAATTCTCCTTTTTTCTTTTTCCGGCTAACACATTATCCTCAGAGCACAGGGTAGTGCCCCAAAATGGGCAGTCCCCTATCTTACAAGCACAGGGTAAATATACGGACTAATTCTTGGGGGTGGCAATGGAAACCAAAGGGTTAGGGTTTTCAAACTCCGGACAGGAGTCCCCATGTACATAACCTGCTATACTTGGGCTTCGTTTGGTGGCTCGGCCTGGACTAGACTGTTTCAATTAAATTGGACCAATATCCTGGACTCTATTTGGTGAACTTAAAAATGTTGGGACGGAACTAATTAAATTGGACAGCACTCCAACATATTGTGTCTTACAAGTCCCATCTAGAGGGGTGATAAGGACTGACTCGGACTCAATTCCAAGCCCTTTGCCTGAGCATAATTGAAGTATAGTACACATCCTGGAAATGAAACCTTACGAGGCTGTTACAGGGTCCAGATTTGATTGAATGATCTCAAGGAAAGCATTTGAATTTCACAAGAAATATAGATTAGTTTTTTTATACATAAAATATATAATATATAGGACCTAAAATATATATATGGGTGTGTGTGTGTGTGTGTGTGCGTGTGTGTATACTAGATCAAAAGTATTTGAAAAAAAGATAAGTAACTAGACACAATGTAATTGATGGAATTTGAAATGATTCCATACAATTATCATTTGAAATATATTTCGTCCTTTTGTCCCAAATATTTGTGTTGTTAACAGTCCAATCAAAGAATCCAAATATTATCTAAATCCCTATATTTGAATTACTATTTCAAAATGGGAGCCTTATGCATTTGATGTTAGTACTGGATATTGCTAATTCCCTTCCAATTCCACAGTAGCTAAATGAAAAACTAAACCAGCTCTGACTATAATTCAATCTAACAAAAATGGGTTTGCTTAAATTGTTGTTAAATTTTTGAAAACCAAACATGTTTTCTTTAATTTGTAATTATAATCAACGAGAACGATGGGCAGCATACAGTGAAATAAAAACTTATATCAATAACCCATTAAAATGTCCACCAAAATATCAATTCGGAGAGAGAGAGAGAGAGAGAGAGAGAGAGAGAGAGAGAGATGGGCAGCATACAGTGGTGAGTGCGAGGGAAGGAGCGGGAGTGGCGGAGAGCGGGCCAGAAGTAGAAGCAGTTGAGGGCCCAAAGCCAGGGGAGCAGAGCGAACCCAAACTTGTAGAATCTACGCGCGTAACTCACAGAGTCTTCCTCAGAGAGCCCCAGTGGGCCGTCAATGGTGGGCCACACCGGCGATGAAGACGACGGAACCAGAATCACGTTACTTCTTGGATTGATAGGGTTCTGGTTTGGCATTTCGCCATTACCCAGTGAGGCTTCCATCGAATCGACGACGCCTATTATTCCCTTTTCTGCCAGCAAACAAAGTGCCTTTGCAACGATCGAGGTTGCGGGTTGGCCTTCGATTTTGTTGTTGGGTTGGGGAAAGCCATATACGACGTCGTCATGCTACTCGTATAGATACGATAAAAAAGAGTATGGTTAAATACCCTATTTGGTCCCTGTGTTTTACAAGAATTGCCAATTTCTTCCCTGTGTTTTCTATTATTTTTTCATATAAAATCTTTTTATTTAGAAAATATTTTTTAGAAACTAAATAAATTTTTTAACAAATTTGATGGGGAAAGGGTGGGGTCGAAGTGAAGAGGAGGTCATGATAAGGGGGGTGAGCAGGTCGGGAGGGTCTTGAAAGGGAGGTGAGATAGGTTTTGTCTTAAAAATAGGGTAATGATTTCTCCACTCTAATTTTATCCACTTATACTCCTTTTTTAGTTATAAAATAGAGTGTAAGTGGATAAAATTAGAGTGGGGAAATCACTACTCTAAAAATAAGGTCAATATTGACGCCTGCGTTAATATTACACCGACACTAACAATAATAAATATACTAAGATTAGGGTTAATATCTACTAAATAATTCATAAAATCAATAAGAGGGGTCTTTTTTATCTCACTATTCAACAAGATCAAGAAATCAACCTATCCAATCAAAAAGAGTTTTTTTATTGGATGGGGATGAATGAAGAAATACTAAGTTGTCCCCTATCAAATATGGAATTTTGGTTCTTCCCAAAATTGGAGATACTTTATAATACATATAAAATTAAACCGTGGATTATACCAATTAAATTACTACTTTTAAATATAAATGAAAATGCTAGTAAAAACAAAAGCATCATTGGAAATAAATAAAAAAGATTAGATCTTTTTATATCAATATCGGCGAATGAAAAAAAGTATTTTGAATAAGAAAACCGAAATCAAGGGAAAAAAGAATACACAGGCCAAGCAGATTTTAAATCAACTATTTCAAATCAAGAAAAAGGTGTTGAAAAAAATTATATGGGATCGAACATGAAAAAATATATAAACAAAAAGCAATACAAGATCAATACAAAGCGGAATTCGATTTCTCCCTCATGAATTATCCTTTCAAATATACAACATGGATTACGACAATGCAATGTAGTTGAACTCTAATGTTGATCCAAATGAATAATCATTTCCATGAAGGTGAATCTTTGCTTGCTAGGCATGTTTTGATCTAAGATTCAATTCTTCCATGTTTTAGCAGTAAGTAATATATTAGGAGTGGGGGGGAGTACATTGGGAGGAGAGAGAAGGCGAAAAAACTGGTGGCTTGGGGGGTTGTTGCAATTTTATTTGATTTTTAAATATTTTGAATTGATGAACCCTATGATGTGACTCTGAATATATTGTATGCATGTGATGTGACTCTAAATACATTGTATGCATGCATGTTTTTTCTCGTAGAGGTATGCAAGTATGCATGTTATTTCTAATATACTGGTTTGTATAAAGTGAAATACATATGTCTTAGATTTCTTTAATATGCGTGTTCAAGATCTTTCACACAATATGAATACATAACCTGGTGCCATCTTTCTTGAATATACGACCTCTGAACTCATTCAATTGCAGCAGCAATATCCCAACAAGAAGAGGAACGGCTCAAGACTTCTGCTCTCTCTCTCAGAATCTGTTTTAGCTATCTCTTTATGATGAGATTAGGGTTAGAGAACGTGTTTGATGATAGCAGGGCCTTAAGCTTATATAGTGCTAGGTCAGGTCATTTCTACTCATCACCAAGGGCCAACTTGACTAATCTTCCAAGCCCACCAAAATGGTTCACTTAAAAAAGAAAATAAATAGGACCCCTTAATAGGCTTCAAAACATTTCCCTATTCGACAAGGTTTTGGGCCTCAAGGTATAACTTAATTTAAACTCTTATCAAAACCTAATATAACTTAATATCTAGTGCAGTGATCTAAATAGGAAACATAACATTCTCCCACTAGATCAAGCACTAGAGCACTAAGTTTCTGTATTCTAAAAGGTTTGATAATCTTTATTGGCCATGAGTTTAAAACAGTTAAGTCTTTCCCCTCAAGCTACAGTGAAAATCGATTAGACAAAATGAACTATAGACAAACACTACTCTCTTTATTAAAAACATGCTATCTATAATCGCATAATGCAATCTCAAAACACATGAAGTAACTACAAACGCGAACCTTAATATGTACTGATCCGTAATGTGAATCTTTATGCTTTTCAATACATGTGCTCCTTTAAGACTTAGCAAGAGTCAATCCGCAATGTTATTAAAATAATAGTATCTCAAAAGAGATCATAAACTCACATGCATAAACAAAATTGCATATAAGTTTAAACAGCTAAATAGTCAAAATGGTAGAATTTATTTAATAATAAATAAAACTGTCAATCAAATTAACATCCTTAAATACAAATCCCTCAATCTAGAAATAGCAAAATGAACATACTAGTAAAATATCAGAATGGGAACAAGACACCCACTAGATTGCAGCATCAAAGGTAGGAAATAATCTCATGCTCTCAACAAGTCTCAGAAAAGTTTCTGAAGGCAAAAACTTTGTGAACGGATCTGCAATCATATCTTGAGGTCTGATGTGATCAAACATGACTAGTTTGTTTGCCACCTTCACCCTCACTATTAAATGTCAATATGCTAAAGTATAGATGATATCTTGTTGTTCATGCAGTGAAAAACAGCTGCAGTGTTGTCATTATATATTCGTATTGGTCTAGAAATTGAGTCCACCACCTTAATGTCTTTAATAAAATTCCTTAGCCATACTGCATGAGAAGTGGCTTTATAGAAAGCTATGTATTTTGAAAATATGGTTGAACTCGAAACACCAGATTGTTTAGCAGTCTTCCAAGCAACAGCTGCTCCTGCCATCTTGAAAAGAAAACCTGAAGTAGAGATGTAATCATCCTCTGCTTTTCCAAAATTCGCACCAACATAACCAACAAGCTCTAAATTCTCTGTGCATCTGTAAATCAACATATAAGCCTTTGTTCTCTGTACGTACCTCAAAATCTTCTTTCCAGCTATCCAATGTTGCATTCCCGGATTTGACTGAAATATCCCCATCTTGCTAATACACAAGGCTGGGTCTGGCCTTGTACACACTTGTGCGTACATAATGCTTCCAACTAGAGAAGCGTACCGCTTGTTCCTCATCTTTTCTTCTTCTTCTTTACTCTTGGGGTAATGCTCCTTCTTTAAATCTCCTTTGGCTAACGGAACTTTCTGTCCAAAACACATACTCATGTCAAAACGCTTGAGTATCCTTTCAATGTATGTTTTCTGCGACATGCTTAGGAGGCCTTGAGCTCGCCCTCTCTGAATTTCAATGCCTAACACAAAAACGACTTCTCCCAAATCCTTAATCTCAAAATTGTTTGAAAGTAGCTCCTTAGTGTCTTTCAGTAAATTGTGATCATTTATAGCCAAAAGTATATCGCCGACTTGCAACACTAGAAAAATAAATCGGCTCCCACATGTCTTTAGATAAATGCATTGATCGGCTATGTTCTCTTCAAAACCATAAATTGCCTTGTCAAGTTTGCAAACCATATGCTCCTTTCCCTCCTTTGCAAACTCTTCTGGTTGCCTCATAAATTTTTGCTCTTCAGTTTTTACATCAATTTGATATAAAAGTAGGTCATAATGCTCCACCAAAACCATAATGATGTTGAAAGAATCTTTGGTGGAAACTGGAGAAAACGTCTCAATATAGTCAATTCCCCCCTTTGGGTGAATCCTTTTGCTACCAATCTAGCCTTAAATCTTTCGATTCTTCCATCCTTATCCTTCTTTGTTTTAAATACCCATTTCAAGCCAACCATTTTCTGGCTCTTGTGAGGTTCAACTAATTCCCATACTTGATTATTCTTCATGCTTTTGAGTTCATTCAACATTGCTTCCCCCCATTTGTCTATATTATGACTCTCCATAGCTTCTTTAAAACTTGTTGGATCAGCCTCATCTCCAATGTCAAAATTTGCTTCTTGTAAGTACACATAATCTGAAATTGCTATGGATCTTCTTGTGCTATCAAATCTCCTTAACAACATTGGTTTGGGTGAATTTTCTTGTTGTGGGTTTTTTGCAATTCGTTCTTCTTGTTGGTCAATTGGTTCTTCAAATTGTGGAGGCTTCATTCTGTGGGGCTGGTGCAATATCACTCATGGGAATCAACGTTGTAGGATTTGGTTTAGCATTCTCGATCACAGCCACATCCCCTTCTTCTTTAGAAGTAAAATCTTCATTCCCAATAGTATTCTCCTCATACTCTATAAACTTTGTACAACCAGTCTCAACAATTTGGGTACCATAATTTGGACAGTAAAATCTAAAACCCTTTGACCTTGCAAGATCACCTATAAAATGACAGCTAATCGTTTTAGGATTGAGCTTGTTCTCTTGAGTGTTATAGATTCTAGCTTCAGCCTTGCAACCCCATACATGAAGGTGTCGCAAGCTAGGCTTTCTCGAAGTCCAAATTTCGAAAAAAATGTCTTAGGTACGGAGTTACTAGGCACTCTATAGTTTGTTGTTTTGATCACCTCTCTCAAAAAGTATAGGCAAATCAGTTTTGGAAATCTTGCTAAGAACCATGTCCTTCAAAGTCCAATCCTTCCAGATTTCAATTTCTTCTCTTAGCCACACCATTTTGTTGCCGAATTACTGGCGTTGTATATTGAGTAGATATTCCATTTTCTTGTAGATACCTAGTAAAAAAGTCTAGCACATCTTCCTCCTTTATCAAAATCCATAATAATTCACCCCGTATGTCTGACCTCACAATTTTTATCTTTTTCTCAAGTTGTCTTTCAACTTCAGTTTGAAATTTTTTAAACATTTCAAAAGCTTGAGACTTTTCTGCTATGAGATATAGATAACCAAAACGAGAATGGTCATCTATAAAGGTGATTAAATAGCGATTTCCATCAATTGTTTGATGAAGGAATGATCCACAAATATCTGTATGGATGATTTCTAAAAGATCACTACTGCAAGTTGCACCTTTCTTTTTAGCCTTAGTGAGTTTTCCTTCAACACATTCCTTACAAATTTTGTCATCACTGAAAAGCATTGGTGGCAAGACTTGTTCTTTAACAAGAATTTTCATTCTTTCTTTTGAAATGTGCCCTAAACATCCATGTCATAACCTAGTGGATGTTCCTTCACTTCCGATCTCTTTCTCACTCAATTCAGCTATTAAAACTTCACCATCTTTATTGTAATTGAGACAATATAATCCATCTTTATTGTCTTTGAATTCTGAGATACAAAAACATCTTTATAAAACCAAGATAAAACTAAATCTTATTAATCTTGAAACATAAATTAAATTTCTCTTTATCTAGGGTACTGAAACTACATCATCCAACTCTAAAATAAATCTTGAATCCAACTTAAAATCAACTACTCCAATAATATTTAATGAAAACAACAGGTAGCTATCTAATCCTCCTTGTCATAACGTGCTGCCATGAAAGTGTTGTTCTCCCTAGCAGGGAACGGGTCAAGTACCACTATCTCCCTATTAGTGGTGGTATCGAAAATCTCAACAGGTGCTTCATGTTGGGGCGTAGGTTTCACAAATTGCACTAGAAGATTCTTTTATCAAAGTAGCTTATTGATGTTTCATCCTCTCTCATAAGTGCATACATTGAGCTTTACAGCGATCCTGAGACTTCTGAGACTGTCCTTTGTAGCCGTGTATATCCTTATGGGTCCTCTATAAGGTGTCGCTGCGCCTTAATCCTTTTTCGCTCCAGCTCATCTTTGTTCCATTTCTTAATTAGCTCCACTATATTCTTTACTAGAATTCCATTCGTGATTAGTTGACACGAGTGGCTCCTATTAACCGCCAGATGCTTTTCCTTTTCCCTAAGCTCTAGGAGTTGTACTACAAGATACATAATCGAAATGGCTAGTTTGAATTAAATATAATCATGAGTGAGATCATAAACGATCTCATTCATTCTGAGAATAACTTCAAAATCAAACGTCCATATTTGAAGTTTGATCTAGTGAATCTTTCAATTTGCGAGTATTCAAAGCTATAAGGATTTGCAAAAGAAAATATAATTACTTTCCAAGAAAACTGATTCTCAATTTGTTACGAGAAAACAGTTTTCTCGTTTAACTTTATTCACAAAACTAACAAATAACATATGTAAGCTTCCTTAATTAAGTATCACATGTTTGTGGCAAGAGATTACTTATAGCTTACACAAATTATATGTTATCTTTTGCCATCATAAAAAAATTACAGGATAGATTCTATTTGTTGAAGAAATTATCAAGTAATTTAAGTATGATGCAATTTTTGGTTATTTCTTTAGGGTTTGAGTATTTATGTTTGGTTTTGTTATGAAAAATTTGTTGATTTTTAGAACAAAGACAAACACCTATCTAGCTCAGAAAATAGCCAAACAAACATAGTCAAGGAGAAAACCCTAAAAATGGCTGTGAATAGTGTTTTTGTTGTGAACAGTGTTTTAGACGTGAGCAGTGTTTTAGGGGCTCTTGGTGTCCGTTTTTGACGCAAAATGCCTTTCTGAATAGGGAATGAACTAATTAATACAACTCACAACTTTTCTGTGACGTATGGGCATTTTTAGGGTTTTAAGCTCATCTGTAGGTAAAAAATGTGTTTAAAATTTTGAAGGTATGAAAAATCAAATTAAAACATGCTTTTCCAGATTCTTTAAGATTCTTGATATTTTAGAAAACATGTTTAATCCATCTTCAAATTTTAAACATAACCAAAAACTCATCATGGCATAAACAGATAAGAAATCGTAATAGGCATGCTTGAAAAACGATTTCAGTGTGTGCGAATAACCATTTGCTGTAATACCTACTCTTAGATTTCTTTAATATGCATGTTCAAGATCCTTCACACAATTTGAAATATGTAGAGATATACTTGGTGCCATCTTTCTTGAGTATACGACCTCTAAACTCATTCAACCGCAGCAGCAATATCCCAGCAAGAATAGGAACGGCTCAAGACTTCTGCTCTCTCTCAGAATCTGTTTCAACTCTCTCTTCTCTCTTTATGATGAGATTAGGGTTAGAGAACATGTCTGATGAGAGCAGGGAATTAAGCTTATATAGGGCTGGGTCAAGTCGTCTTTACTCATCACCGAGGGCCGACTTGACTAATCTTCCAAGCCCACCAAAACGGCTCACGCAAAAAAGGAAATAAATAGGACCCCTTAATAGGCTTCAAAACATTTCCTTATTCCACAAGGTTTTAGGCCTCAAGGTATAATTTAATTTAAATTCTTATCAAAACCTGATATAACTTAGTATCTAGTGCACCAATCTAAATAGGAAACATAAAAATGTGTTGAACTTGATATCCTTAATTTGATGGATTCATTGAAGAAGCAAGCTTCGTGTCCATAATGAGAGTTTGTTCTTCGTGATTGTTAATTCATGGAATTAAAGAATAATTGCATATCAAGGTATTATCAAGGATCTAAGCCTATCTTCTTTATAACAATCCATCCATAGTTATCCTTATTTAAATTCAATTTTAAATTGTCCTTATTTGCAGTTTCACATTCTTGAAGCTACCTTAAGAAAAATAAGGTTTTAGGCTATGATTTTTCTGTGGTGAGATAGAGCTCGAACTCATGAGCATGTAGGCATAACCAATTACAGATCGGAATTAATATGAAGAAGTTATGCACATTTAGGATTTGGTAGCCCTCTTTGACCCATGCAACTTGACACACCTCAGTTTCCAGCAGTTTTTGTTGTATTATCTCCCTCTCCTTGAGCCTAAAATCTCTATAGGTCTAGTTTTCCCATCCAAATACCGTACAAAGAGAATCGAAGCCAACAAGCTTTAGTACCTCCATTAGGATTTTGATGTTTCTGAAGACTCTGGCTACTTTCAGGTATGATGGAAGTCATTGATTCCTTATGACTTGCTTTTGAAGTAATTTGAACAGTATTAAAGTCATGCATTCCTTATAAAGCTTGAGAAATGGGTTGAGATGCTTTATGAATAATAAAGATTTTATCAAATGCTTTGAGTGTATATACATAAATATAAGTGAAGAGAAAACTAGTTTTGTGCATTTCTCAAACACACAAATAGGATAATGAGCTATCTAACATGCATTTCAACAAAATACAAAGAAGTGGAGCAAAATAGACACTTAGAAACTCATATCAAATGCTACTGAACCCAAAATCTTTCTTTCGGCTTATGAAATGTTGCATCATAGACTCTCTAGAACTTATTTAAAGAGAGGGATTAGAGATGTAGTTACCCATGGAGCAAATCTTGAACCCTAGGAAGGTGTTCAAGTAGAATGTTTGATCTCCCCTAGCTTGATAATCCACTATGGCTCTCCAATAGGTACAATAGTGTTTACCTCACAAAAGCGCTTTGTGGGAACATGGAATTTTGGCAACCAATCCGAAGATGACACATAGAAAAAGGGATATGCCCTAGGTTAAATAATTATGCCAATTATATCACATTTATTTGGCTAATTATCTTGACTAAAAATGGGAATATCTTCCCCAAATCAAGGATTCAATTGGCATCAAATCTCCTTGATCCACTATACCTCCTTATTCAA